CTGCTGACTACCAGTCAGGAGTGCGGAGTCGCTGCCCTGGAGGCCCTCTTAGCCTAGGAAGATAAACACACCCAGGGGAGTGAAAGAGAGAGAGAGCCAGCTGGTCTGAGATGGTCGGGGTGGGGGAGAGGAATGTCCCAGAGGCACAGAAATCCCAGGCTGGGGGCCTGCCACACCCAGTAGCTCCTCTCCTGGAGGGCCAGCGGGAGTGAGAAGTGCCCAGCAATGAGGCTGTGCTCCCTCACACCACTCTGGGTGGGCAGGGCTGGGCTCAGGCTCCGGGAAGCAGGCAGTGAGGGTGATGAGCTCACAGGCTCTCAGTTTCCTTCACCTCCTCTGTCCCCGAAGCCTCAGGTGGCACTTCCTTGCAGCTGTGGGCTCCGGCCTTCGCTGGGGAGAGCAGATGAGGAAGGGGCTGAGGGAAGCAGGGAGGAGGGGGAGTAACATGTGCAGAGCGGGAAACGAGAAAACAAAACCTGATTCTTCTCCAGGATGGGCTCACCTTCCCCCACCATAGCAACAGCCCCAGAGGCGGGCAGCCACAAGCTGGGGTGGGCATCTGCTGTGCCAGTCGGAGGAAACGGGCCTCTGTGAGTGGGGAGGGCAAGAGAGCCACCCAGACAGCGGACCACCCAGGGCTGGTCGTGGCTGGGAGTGGCGGAGGCACAGAGCATCAGGCGTGCTCAGAGGGGCCTATGGGAGGGAATGGCTCTTGTGATGTGGGACCCAGGGCCAGCGGCATCTGGCCTGAGAGCTGGAGTCCGGGACCCCGCTGCCTTCTCCACCCGGGGTCCGGGGTTTCGGGACCTTGGCAAGGCTGAGCTCATTGTGCTGCCTGGGCGTGCACGGGTGTGTTTGTGCCAGAATTGGGGCGTGTTTCTGGGCCAGGAGGTGGTGGGTGGAGGGGTGTGTCAGGACTGAGTGAGGGCACTGTGACAGGCAGGAACAGAGGGAATCTGGATGAGAGGTTTCATCTTCCTCGTGCCTTAAGGCTTGGCTAGAGGAGGCAAAAGAGAGACATCTAACAGTGCCGAGGGGTGACCGCATCAGGTCTGGCCCGGCCCCGGCCCCGTAGGGTTAGGGTCAGGGTTAGCATAGGGTCTTCTAGGCCCTCCTAGCCCGTTGCCCTTCCTCTGGCACCACAGCCTGTGCCCTGAGCCTTCCGGAAGGGGCAGGTCTCATAGACTCCTAGCCTCCCTCCTCCACACCTGCGTCCTGTCCATGGGAGTGGATTCGAGGAGAGCAGCCACGAGCTCCTTCAGCCGTTAGTTCCCAATGGCTGGCGCTGGGGAGGGAGAGACTCCAGCCACCGAGACTTTAGAGCAGGGGCCTGACTCTCCCCCAAACCATCAGGACTTGGCTGATTCAACTCCAGTCCTTGCTAAGAACATGAGGGCCCCGAGGGCTGACCATGCAGGAGAGCTGAGAGCGGGCGGGGTGGGGTGCTCCCCAGCCCCTCCTCTGGGCGCAGCCCAGGCTGCTGCCCTCCACCCCCACCCCCAACACCCACACCACCCTTCCATGGAAAACGGTAAACTGGCCACAGCAGGCCTCCGGGTAATATTTTTGCACTATACAAAAACATGTCCACACCCATTGTCTTCTGATCCTGGCCACATCCTGTGAGGTCATGGGGCCAGCATACATTTTTAACAAGGCTCAGAGAAGCTTTTTTTTATTTTATTTTTTATTTTATTTATTTATGTATTTATTCTTTTTTAAGCATTTTTAGCATTTTTGCATCGTGCCCCATGGTTAGCGCCGGAACTGAAGGTCAGGGAGCCCCGTATATTCCGCTCAATACATAGACGGTGTGCTTGACCCTTAGGCACACTTTGGCCTTTCAGTCTCACACAGCCCTGCCTGGTCCCTGTCCCCCCGGTGAAGAGAATGGGCTTTCACAGGCCCAGCAGCGTGCTCAGGCTCGGCAGTGACAGGGGCCTCACGTCCTGTGTGTCCGCCTCCAGACCCGGAGCATGCTCCCTGGCATTAGCAGAAGGGCCTTAGGTGCCCTGGTGGGAGGTCACCTGGGGACACAGGCCCTGCTCCCCAGAGGGACAGGCTGTGCTCTGGCTTCTATGGGGCCCTGCTCTGGGAAGCAGGGGGCTGAGGTGGAAACAGCTGAACCAGGTAGTCTCTTCCTCAGGGCAAGTTGGGGTTCAGATCTCAGCCTGAGTCAGGGTGGGTGCAGGGGAAGTGCTTGAGGACAGAGGTGTGACGGTTGGAGAGAGAGAAGGGCAGGAGGGGGCAGGCCCTTCCTCTCCTAGCTCTCGCTGATGGTCCGCACAGACCGGCCACGGGGCCACAAAGAAGCAGGTGGGGACCCTGAGCAGATGCCTGAGCCAATCGGGGGCTCAGTACCTGCCAGGAAGCAGGCCAGGTGTGAGGCAGGGCCCCAGGCCAGGGAGAATGTGAAATGAGCTTCCAGCTTATTTGCATGTCCTAATTAACCATAAAATGAGCCCGAGGGGCAGAATTACGCTGTCAGTTTCTGCTGTGTGCTTCCACTATCCCCAGCTCTCCACGCCATCGCCACGCAGCCCACACCTCCTCCTCACTTAGGCTCCGGCATTCCCAGTGCCTGGCTCCCTCAGCCTCCCTAGCGTAGTAGTCTCCATCCTGGTCGCAGAGCCTGTGGGAGCCCACACGGGGAGGGAGGTGACTGAATGGGCCATAAGCTCTCATTAGCGAAGCCTAACACAGCAAGGAGGCCTCACACCAGCCCTGCTGTGACCCGGGCAGATCTCCCCACCCAAGTCAGCGTTCGCTTCCAGGCCTGGGGCCTGAGAGGACAGGTTCTGGCTTGGCTTCGGGGCAGGGGTGGCAGCTTGTGGGACGCGTGAGGAGCACAGGGCTGGACTGTTTCCGGCTGGACCCGTTCCATTCTCAGCTCTGCCGCTGCGGCCCTGGCCCGTTCCCATCTCCGAGCCGCTCCCTGTGAAACGAGTCCCAGCAGCCACATCCAGGGATGGTGGGAGGAGACAACCTGAAGGTGCTGGCGACATTCGTTAGTGACGGGACGGACGGCACTCCTGGTCGGTTTGTCCCCCCCACCCCACCCCCAAGTTAAAAGGGGTGTTGGTTCCCTGGAATCCTGGCTCCCCGGTGGGTTCATGTCGCTTCTCTCTCCCCTCCGGGCCCCGATCAGGAACTGGGTCCTTTCCATTGCTGTTCCTCGTTTCTGTCGCAGTGCCTGGCTTTGGGAGGCGCTCACCGTTTGGTCTGAGTCCCTGCGATTGGCCTACAGAACAGAGGAGTCACAGGTGAATGGCCGAGAGGTGGTTTGGGTTCCTGTAGTTGCTCCTGACGCGGACCCGGTGCCTTCCTGAGTAATTTGCTGGATGGCTTCTCTCCCTCGGGATTCAGGGAGCCATAGGTGGAATCTGCACTCACACACACCACCGCAGGCAGCCAGGCTGTGGGCCTGCCCCCGGGGCTGAAACTCCAGGTCCTGGGGGAGACCCGGGAGCAGGGGCTGGGGTGGGGTAGCCGTCTTCCTCAGGCAGGAAGAGAGCCGCGTTGGCCAATGCGGGGAGAGCGGAGAGTTAGCGTCAGAGCCTCAGGACCCTCTGATTCCCATCCTGCTGCTTCCGTTTGCTCCGAGGACGGCAGTGCCTTCCGAGGGCATTCCCAGGTCTGAAGGATGTGCGTGCTGGGCTCTCAGAAACCACCTGGCTGGGCCTTTCCTCTTGTGGCTTCTGCCGTCGGAACTACACACCTACCATCTGACGGCGGCAATCGGAGCGACTCTAACCACCCTCTGGAACTGCTCGCTGTAAGCCCCCCACCCCCACCCTCACCCCCATCTCCTCCCTGGGGGCCTGGGCTGCAGAAGAGCCTTTGTCATTTTTCTTCTCCAATTTGTCATTAACGCTCTGAGGGCAGGTAGGCGTCTTGCCTCTAATTGCAGCTGTCACCTCCCATCAGGCAGAGGGCAGGTCAGGCGGGAGGGGAGAAGGGGAGGGAGTGTGCGCCCTCCCAGGCTGGCTGGGCCCTAACAGGGCCCTGCATTGTCTGTTCCCAGCCAGCGGGCTTTCCAGGCCAGAGGAGGCGGGCTGGTGGCTTCGCTGGGGTGGCATTGCTCTTGGGCCACGTGCCACCACCACGGCTGCAGCTGAGCTGCTGCCCGGGGCCCTCCCTCTCCCTCTCCCTCTCCCCAGGGTGGTTCTGGGTCGGGTGGGAAGAGGCCAGAGAGGGAGCTAGGGATTTGAGTGTTAGTACCATCTGGGCTCACTCTCGCTGGAGAGTGTATACACCCTGTGTCCTAGTGGGGGTGCAGGGCTGGAGACAGGGTGTTGTGGGGAGCAGTGGGGCCCCACTGGTGTGTCCTAGAACAGGTGGCACCTCCTGTGGGCACGGGGGTGGTACCTGCCTCCTTGCTGGCTCGCACGGGAGATAACCGGTGTGAAAAGGCTTCCCTGTGCCTCCCGAGGCTGCAGGGATCTCTCTCTCTCTCTTGTTTGGAAAGATAAGGGCTTCCCCCAGGATCCCTTATGCCTGCACTGCCGACCCAGCCGTTTCGGACCCGGGGCCGGCTGACAGCTCAGGGCAACAGGCGCAGGAGGGGTGGGGTTTCTCTCTGCTGCCCTCCTCCCAGGAGGCTCAGGGTTAACCCCTGTGCCAGGAGCAGCGGTTTGCCCGGGAAGCAAGCAGTTATGGGGACACGAGAGATGAGGTCTTTATTGGGGGCTTCTCTGAAGAACCTGAGGCCCTAGTCCATACAGAACGTTCACCTGGGTCTTCGGGGAGAGTGAGGAAGGTCAGAAGGATTTTCTGGTCTCCTCCCCGCTGACCCCCTCCAGCCCAGAATGAGACACACACACACACACACACACACACCACCTCCCCTGCCAGCCGGCCGTCACTGTCTCCCCACCACAGGCCGCCTGGCGTCCTCTTCTCTGGGGAAAAGGAACCCGGGGTTGGGCTTTGGGACGCCACGCCAGCCGCGTCCCCAGGGCCCCGCAGGGTTTGGGGTTCAGCCCACCTCTGTGCGGGGATCAGACCCACACCGCAGTGTTGATATCGAAGCCGGAGGGCGCCGCCTCCAGGGCCTTGGGGCAGCCGGGGGCCGTGCCCTCCCCTGGCCTGGGCTCCCCCGCGCCCCGGAAGGGGAGATGATGCCCCGAACCCTTGGGGTGGCCCCGCTTCCTGGCCTTGTGCGAGCGCCCGGCCCGGGGCTCCGAGGCCGAGGGGGCCGCCCAGCCCGGCTTCTCCTTCAGCAGCCGGTCCCGGTCGGGCCGCACGCTGCGCAGGAACTTCCGGAAGATGTTGGCGGTCAGGGCGAACCTACGGCCCAGCTCCCTGGGCTGGTCCGGCTCTGCCCGGGGCCCCCACGCCCCCCGGGGCTCCCCCTTCTCCAGCTCCGGCAGGTCCAGCCAGTTGCCCACCAGGTCCGCGAACACGTTGTCCCCCATCACCAGGGGCTGGCGGTTCCGGCCCCGGGACATGAGCGTGGAGGTCCAGTCGTCCGGCTCCCCCAGCCCGGCCCTCTGCTCGCCACAGCCTGGCAGCTCTGGCAGCTGGGTCCTGGGTCCGAGAGCTGGCTCCCTGCCCCGCACGCTCCTGCCGGACGGGCACCGGGCTCTGCTCCCGTGAGAAGCGTGGCCGCAGGGGGGCGCCCCTCTGCCGCCCTCCCAGGGAGGGGGCTCCCACCGTGTCCGGGGGCTGGCGGGGCGGCCTGGGGCGGGGGCCCCCCCGGAGATGTCCAGCTGCTCCAGGGCCGTCTGCACCTGGAGGAGCTTCAGCTCCTGCAGCGCCCCCATCATGCAGTTCATCTGGTCCTGCAGGCCGTCACCCACCTCCTTCATGGACATCTGCGGAGACAGGAGGGCCAGCCAGTGAGCCCTGAACCTGGACCCCTTCCCCCACACCCGCCTCCAGTGCCATTCCGGCTGCCAGGGACCCGCCTGCATGGCCTAGGCCGGAGCAGCCGGGCTGGGGAGGACCTTTAACCCGGGGTGGGGGGTGCTACATAAAGGATAGCTTCTAGCAGCTCCTGCTCCCCGCCCCGAGGCTGTACGCGTAGAGGCCTGAGTACAAACGAGCCTCTGTTTAAGCTCCCCGACTGCTCTGTGAGCGAGTGACTGGCGGTGCTCCCATTCTACAGATGAGGAAACTGAGGCACACAAGTCACTTGCTCAAGATTGCTTAGTAAGCGGTGGGCTCAGCTTATGGATCATGGTGAAGGGCGCCCAGCTGTGGTGTGGACACAACGCCTTTGTCCTTCCTGTGCCTGTGCCCCTGCCTCTGAGCCTCCAGATGATGACGACGACGAAGGACAAGGACGCTTTGTGAGCATGAACTCTGCAACCGGAAGGGTGCCGAGGGCGCTCCGAGCATCGTCGCCCTTCCTCTTTACACATCGCTGTCCTCAGCTGGACGAATGAGTTGCCATGTGGGCGAGGGGACCCGCCTGAGCCACCGCACATCTCTGTCCCAACGCCAGCGCCCTCACCACCCGCACGTCCAAGGCGGCAGCGATGGCGCTGGGCACGCAGGCTGCCCGTGCCCCGTGCCCCGTGGAGGGGGGAGAGGAGGAGCTCCCTCGTTGTCAGAGGCGGTCACGGCTGGGCACATCTGGCTGCCAGGGCGGAGGTCAGGAAGCTCCTGTTTGTGGAAACCCTCACCCGGCTCTTCCCAGTCCTCTGACCACCTGCCCTCTCCCAGCTGCTCTGGTGCCACCCCCCCCTCCCCGCCTTCCTGGCCCACGGGGGGCCAGTCTCCCAGCCCCTCTGTGGGCGTCTGAGGCCCGCGTCCCAGGTGCCAGCTGGAAGGGGCTGGGAGATGGACTTGGGCGCGGGCCGAGTTTGGAGGCTGGACAGGGATGCTGGGCTTGATAACATTCAGAGGCTCCTGCCCCGGCCCACGCTGCCTGTCCCACCAGCTCCGCTCAGGTTACCGGCAGCCGCCCTCCTGTGCGGGGCCATCTGTTTCCTAAGCCCCTGAGACCCGTGGGGATCATCTTACCTCCCAACCCGTCCTGATGCACTCGGCTCAGCCCCGGGGTAGGGGTGGGGTGGGGTGGGGGGCTCGGGAGGACAGGCACAGCGGCTGGCAGGGCTGCCCGAGCAGCTGACCCTCTCGGGCTTCGGGGTCCCTCCCTCCCCGGCCAGCCGGGCTCTGGGGGGGAGCAGGGCAGGATCTGCAGAGCCAGCCCCACTAGCGGTGCAGGGCTGACTGTCCTGAGGGAATCGCCACACTCAGAACCTCCCCCACCTGTCCGGCCCCCAACAGCCAGCTGCCCTGGCCAGCCGGTGCCATCGATCGGCCCGGGGGCGGCTGGCTTCCTGTGGCTCCTTCCTCAGCTGGGGAGACCCCGAGCCCTCATCCTAAGCCTCCATGGTCCCTTACAGCAAACTGCTCCTCTGACCCCCGCTTCCTGCCCCCCTTCCGCCCCCATGCCCTCTCCTCCTCACCCCGACCTAGAGCCTCGGGGTCCTTTTTGCCCCGCCCCATTCCTGTCCCCAGATGTCTCCTGTCTGCCTTTCCATCTGAAAGGCTGAAGCCTCCAAGGCCTTCCGCAGCCAGAGTGCCTGCCAGTCCTCCTCTGAGACACTTAAAGTGCCTGCCCCGCGGCTCCCGTCACCGGGCGGCATTCATTGTTCATCTACTGACGGAGGGCGGGCCTGGGTCTCTTTATGTCTCCCCAGAACCCCGCTAGCACCTTGCACTTGCTCCACACCACACTGCCCTCAGGGGTTAGGGCATCAGCCTCTGCACTGGAGGGTCTCGGGTTCGATTCCCGATCCAGGGCACGTGCCTGGGTTGCAGGTTCCATCCCCACCCCCAGTGGGGGCACTTGTGGGAGGCAACTAGTCGATGTGTCTCACATGGATGTTTCTCTCTCAAAATCAACGGAAAAAGTGTCCTCGCTCCTTGGATGAGGAGTAAAAAAAAAAAAAAGCAAGTCCCACTGGACACCCCAAACCATCCCCACAGACCGCCTGCTGCCCTGACAGCACCTCACTGCTCAGGGTTGGAGGCTGAACGCAGGCCAGGCCGGAGGCCGGGAGGAATGAAATGACCCCATTCAGTCTCCTCGTGCGGGAACGTCCTTGGGGAAGAATGCTGACGTTCTGTGTGGCGTTCCCGGGAGAATGAACGTGTGGGTATGGGTGAACCGGGGCTGCCCATAACACAGAGGCTGCATTTACGTCAGCAGGCGCGGACAGGACGGCCCTATGGAAAGTGGTGCTCTGTACTGCTTGGGCTCCTGGGTTCTGGAACAAGTGGGACAGGGTTCAAATCCCACCTCTCCCAGGTAAGAGCCGCGGGTTATTGAAATCCTGTTTTTTTCGATTCCTCCCTCCTTTACAATGGGAATAAGACTCCTTGCCTTGCAGGTACAGCTCTGGAGGGGTAGGGCGAAGCAGTGCGTGATTATAAGTGGCCTGGAGGTGACCTGGGACTGTTATCACGGCTTCCTGCGAACTTCCAGAACATTCCTCCTCCGTGGGTCTGAATACAGAGTAATGACTGGGTCCCGTGCATCCTCCTGGTCTGACCAAGGAGAAGCCTCTCCAGCCCTGCTCTTCCGGAGCCCCACACGGGATGGGGAGGGGAAGGGGGGCCTTGGCGTCCAGCTGCCCATCGTCAGGCAGGCCCGGTCAGCCCGCCGGGAGCGCGGACCCTGAAGGGTGAGGACGGAAAAAGGAAGCCGAGTGTGGGAAACGGAGGCAGGAGCAGCGGCTGGGTCTGGACTGAGAGGCAGCTGCCTTTCCCCCTCCCCGAGGGAATGACGTCACCCCCGGAGAGAGCGCCAGGGGCAAGCTGCTGTCTGGTCCGGGGCGTGGGACCGGGTTTCCTGGCCTCAGGACCAGAGGAGGAGAGGAGAGCAGTGTGGGATGGGAGTGAAGAAAGGGCCACCGCAGAGAGGATCCCGAGCTGGAAATCACCCGCACCGGGTCCCCTTCTCCAGCCTCCGGGGCCTCGGGCCCCTCCTCCGGGCGGGGACCAAATCACACCCCACCGGGTTAGGGTGGGAATAGAGCCAACAGCCGCCTCTGTCTGTCTTCCCCCCGCGAACATCTCCCCCATCCCAGCGACGGTGTGGGAATCCTCCTGAGAAAGGCCACACAGGGTCCCCCGTGCTCCTGGCATCACCCACCGCCCAGTCCTCCTCCACCCCCGCCCCTCCTGAGCCCCCCATTTCCTACTGAAACGTGTCTTCATGCCCAACTTCAGCGTCTCCCGCGGCAGTGAGACCAGCCTGGCTCCCTCTCGAAGGAGAGCCGGCCGCCCGGCGCCCTCCCCGTCTGTGCAGAGCCGCCTGCCGCGGCCGGAGGCCCCATGACGCTGGGCAGGTGCACCAACCCGTGCGCTCCGGGTTACGGATCTGTAAGACGATAACCCTTCCCCCGTGGACAGTGGCGCTCACCCTCCCCAATCCACGGCCAGATCCGACCCCGCGGCGACCCGGGAGGCTGGCAGGAGTCCTCCCCACTCGCCGGACTCGGAGCCTGGAGGTTCGGTTTCTCCCCTCGGTGTTTCCCGAACATGCTTCCCGAGACCCCCCCCCCCCCCCACGGCTTTCACCATATCCGCACACGGCCCAGGCTCTTCCTAGGATTTAATGCCTCACCTATACCTGCTGCTTGTGGGAATGCTTTTGTAGAGGAACCTAGATGAGGTGTGTGTCACCCGCCAGGAGCAGATGGCAGGTCTAAAACTGGGTTTTCATCCCAGCGTCACCTACGTCGTCGCCTTGGGCGCCTCCAGTGGAGACACAGATCTGCTGCCTGAGGTTCCTGTGTGTTCATGGGAGGACCGGACCGACCCCAGGCCCCCGAGCCTGGCCCTCACCAAGGACAGAGCTTCCCATGTCACCCCCTCCCTCGCTTCCCCGCCTCCTGGGATTGTTGTGAAAGGAAACCAGGCCCTCGGACGTGCAGAGCCACATCGAACAGAGAGAGGAACACGAGGTCTGGGAGGGCGTCTCTCCGCCAGCTCCTCCGAGGAGGGGACCGGCCGCCCCGGGCGGGAGGGGAAGCCAGACCCCAGCATCCTGGACCTCCGGGCCCGAGCGCTCAAGGGGGGCGCGTGGGGTCAGCTGTCTGTGGCCAGCACCCTCGGGGGGCACTCGCTGGTGTGGGAGGAGAGGAGGGGGGAAAGGGTGGCACCAGCATCCTCGGCAGCCCTCCCGCCCTCTCCTGGCCCCTGACCGGTCCCACAGCTGTGCCTCCGACAGCTGTCTCACGCCCTCCCCCCGCTGGGCCGGGATCCTTGGACACCAGCTCCGGCTCCGCTGCGGGCCTGGCAGTGTGCCCTGCCTGTCTGCCTCCTCTCCTCCCTCCCAGGCTCCCCACACAGCCTTTCAGTCCCTCTGGAAGCTCCAGGAGGGTCAGGGCCGGAAACGGGAAAAGCCCCGCTTGCGCCAAGCAGCCCATTCTCCGGCCCGTGAATGGGACCTTCACAGCCCCTGCCCCTGGCGGAGGCGCCACAGGAAGGTAGAGCAGAAGCTCTGCCAAGAACCGGAGGGGCGGACGCGGCAGAAAGGAGGACGTCTGAGATGGATGAGCCCACTCTCCCGTCCGGACCAGGGCCTGGGGGCTGTGCGCTCGGCAGCAGCAGCAGACAGAAGTGCCTGCTCTCCCCCCTCCGCTGGCCTTGCCGCCTCACCGGGCCCTTCTCCCGCAGCTTCACTCCTGTCCCCGGCCGGCCGTCAATCAATTCCTGGGGCATCCAGGGGACCTCAGAAAGTTACCTTCCTTTTCTCCTTCCTATAATAGCTCGCTTTCACACTCCTGCCCAGACTCTTCTGATAGCCTTCTTGCCCATCCTCTGCCTCCGTTTCTTTTTTTTAAAAGTTTTTTATTTTATTTTATTGATTTCAGAGAGGAAAGGAGAGGGAGAGGGAGATAGAAATGATGAGAAAGAATCACTGATGGGCTGCTTCCTGCACGCCCCGTACTGGGGATCAAGCCTGCAACCTGGGCATGTGCCCTGACCAGGAATCAAACCGTGACCTCCTGGTTCATAGGTCCACACTCAACCACTGAGCCACACTGGCCAGGCTTCTCCAAACTCCTCTCTGCCCAGCTCTGCACATCGAGGGATCGGCAGTGTAAGGTCCTCTGCAAACGCGTGGACCCGCCTCAGGAACGTGCTCTTTTGCGCCAAGAGCTGCAGGCTGATCCTGCCGTGTCCCCTCGGTCACCATCCTTTCTCCTCCTCTCTTTGCCGTTAGGCCTGGTCCCCCTCCAGATGCCAGCGCCTCCTGAATGGTGGCCACCAGCGGCCTACCTTCTAGCAACACCTCGCTGTCCTAGGATGGCCTTCTCCAGCCTGAGAGAAGTCCCCCTCCTGGTTCCCCAGGCCTCCGCTGGGGCGGACCTTCCAAGAGCTGGCCTCCACCAAGCGCCGCCGCCTCCAGGAAGCCCTCCCAGCCTGGCTGCACTTCAAGCCCCCCATTGCTCAGCCTCTAGGCACTTCGTTTGCTCTCTACTGATCTGAACTCATGAGGAACGCCCCGTGAGCATCTTACATCTGCTTCCTTCGTGCGCCGCGCCTGCCCCTTTGTTAGAAGCCCTCGGGGACCGAGTGTGAGCAACAGCTGGTCCCAAGGCCGTGTGCTCCGGGCAGGGCCCCGCGCTGGCGCGGGCGGCCGGAGCCGGGAGAGACGTGCTCCCTGCGGAGGGGGTGCAGCCCTGAAACCCGACCCAGCAGGGCCCAGGGGCCGGCGCTCTAGACATGAACCAAATTGAGCCAAGACCCCAAAACCCTCAGCCCCAAACCCTCCCCCAGCCCGAGCTCTCTCATTACAGAGCAAATGCTTTGCCTCCAGAAACCGGGAAACGCTGCTCCTTTGGTTTCCGGGAACAGACTCTTCTTGTCTGGCTCTCCTGGGCAGACAGGAGGGCAGCGCGGGAGGCCCGGACAGAGACTGCCTCACAGCCCTGGCTGTTCCCTTTCCCGGCGGGTCTAACCCACAGGCTCTGCGGGGCCAGTGCTGCTGGAAAGGAATTTCGTGGAATCAATGCCGGACTTGACTGCTATTCCCCAAGTGCCATTCCTGGGCACGCACTGCCACGCCAGTCCTCCTGGGTGGCAGGGATGATTCTGGCTGGGAGGAATTCACACACGCACACACACACACACACACACCCTCAAACTCATGACAAACGCTGTGCCTTTCCCCCCCTACTGCGGACCTGGGGGATAAATAAGCCAACACCTTCCTATGCCAACCAAGCTGCATGGAATTCACCCCCCACAACCTTCACAAGAGCCAGAGGGCTGAGCCAGGGCCAGCTCAGCTCTGCTTTCTCCACTCCCAGTGGGGAAACTGAGGCGCTGAGATTGGCTCAGCAACCTAAGCTCTGGGCGGAGGTGTCGGGGAGTGAAGGAGACTCTCACAGCTCTGCCTGTCACTCTGGCGTCTCTCTTGGGGGGGGGGCGGGGAGCTGGCAGGGGGGCGGGGATGGAGCCCCATGGGGGTGGGGGGAGGGTGCATAGCTCTCCCAGCTGAGTGTCATTCTGGGCCCCAGGCCAGGCAGCTGGCTTCCTCTCCAGGAGAGTCAGAGGCTGAGGCTGCGCAGACAAAGGGCCAAAGGAGAGCGAACGGGGAGCTGAGGACCCCAGCCTCGCCCCTCCCGCTTCCTGAGGACCAGGGGCTCCAGCCCTTGGCAGGAGCCGGTGCAAACCAGGACACCAGGACCGGGAGCCCAGCGCGGTGCAGATGCCTGCTTGCCTTTTCTGTCCTCCTGGCACCCACAGCCTCTGCCTCCCTCCCTCACCGCCTCCCACCTAGGGTGCAGTAAAAAATGCAAATCGGTAGGATTTTAAAATTCCAGCCCATGCCAGGAACACCCACAAACCCTCTATTAAGGCAGATCCTGAGGTGGGTGGCATGGTCCCAGATTCCAAGAAAAAAAAAAAAAGATTCTGCTAGATTCCGTTCTCAGCCTGGGCCTTGGACTTCAGACATTATCTGTGATGATCTTGACCTTCCTCCCTGGTGTTGGACAAACGCATGGGAAAGGTCAGAACTGTGTATGTGTGGGCGCGGCCAGCGGTCCCAAACGGCCTTGGGAAGCATGAGAAACTCCTCTGGAGGCGACAGGATGGAGACTCTCCTGTCGCTCCCCGAATGCGCTGGGGAACTCTCCTGACAGTGGCCAGGAGGAAGCACCAGGGGAGCGCGCCCGGGCCGAGGAGGCGGCCCTGGAGCGCCAGACAGGAGCCTGACCGTCACAGAGCACACCTGCTCTCCGCGGCCCTCCCCCCAGGCTGCCAGGGACCCCAGCAGCGGGAGGGGAGAGGATGCCATGGGTGGCAAGCCCGGGGCTGGCACTGCCTGAACCCAGGTCTGCTGTTGAGAGCCTGGGTGCCCGGCTCTGAAAAGTTAGGAGGAGGAGGAGGAGGAGGAGGAGGAGGAAGAGGAGGAGGAGGAGGAGGAGAGAAAGGGGGAGGCTGGGAAGTCGCTGGTTCCCAGAGAAACAAAAAGAGGCGGAGGCGAGGGCAGAAGAGAGCCTGGTGGACCGTCCCGTGAATGCATGGTGGCAGGGAAGGGCGGGGGTATAGGAAGTCAGTGAGAATCAGCCAGAGTTGGAGCAGGCACCCCTCACCCCTCCTGGATAACCCCCCACCCCCATCACCCTGAGCTGCTTCTCCCGGACCCCGCACCCCGCCCCGCACGCCCCCTCCGCACGCCCCGCGCCCGGACCTGACATCTGGCGGGGCCTCGGCGGCTCCGCTCCCGATCTGCCAGGCGCTCCCTCCGCCCGGCGGGCCCTCTCCGCCGCCCCAGCTGCCAGCCCCCTCCCTGCTGGCAGGCAGGCCCGGGCAGACAGCCGGCCCCGGGCCCCCGCAGCCGCGGCGGCTCTGCCAAGCCCGGCAGCACTGGGGGCCCCGGGCGGGGCCAGCTCCTCTCCAGCCACCGGTCCCCGGCTGCCCTGCTGCCCCGGGCTCCCCGCGCCCCGCCCGCCCCAGATCGCCAGGGCCACCCCAGAAGCCGGCACCCCGCGTCCCTCTCTTTCTTTTTTCTTTTTCTGGGTCCATGATGATTTCTTTTTCTTTTTGTCCCCCCCCCCTTTTTTTTCTTCTTCATAATCCCTACACCCTTTTCACCAGCTCTTCCACCGCGCCCGATCCTGTGCGGGCGTCTCGGTCCCTCTCCGTCCGCGTATGCGCGCGTCTCGGGCGGGGTGCGCCCCCGGAGCGCGCCCTCTTTCCGCCCAGGGCTCCCCGGAAGCCCTCGGTCTGGGATGGGTTCGCTCGGCCTCTGTCACTTGTCCCTGCGGCCTCACTCGCACCCGATCTTCGCTTCAAGTTTCCTCGTGGCCCTTCTCCCTCGGGACAGGCGCTGCCCGCTGCCGGCCAGTGCCCTCTGTCCCCGCCCTGCCGCCGCCTCGGCCTCCCTTCCTCCCCGCGCGCCCGGGCTCCCTCCCGGGTCCGGCGAACCCAGGGACCCCCGGCGGCGCCCCCGCCCCGGCGCCCGCGCCTCGCTCACCAGCTCCTGCTTGAGGCGGCGCAGGTAGCAGTCCATGTCCCCGCTCTGCGTCCTCAGGGGCCGGGCCGGCTCCGCCACAGCGTCCCAGCCCCGCCGGACCGCGCGCCCCGCGGGCAGGACCCCGGCCCCGAGCTCCGCGCCTCCCGCGGCCGGAGCGCAGCCTGCGGGACTCGGAGCGGCTTCCCCGCGCTGGCTGCGCGCGGCCCGTGCCGCGGAGGGAGGAGCGGGCCAGCCTATCAGCGCGCAGGGGGGATGCCCTCAGCCAATCAGAAGAGCGCATGGCGGGGGGGCGGGGACCGCGCGGGCCGGGCGCCCGCTGGCTGGCTGTGCGGCCGCGGGGGTTCGCGCTGGGCCCGGGCCGCCGCTCCTGGGGGCCGACGGCGGCCGGCGGGGGGGTCGGGGGGCCGGCGGGGGCCGGCGGGGGAATCGGGGGGCCGGCGGGGGGCCGGCGGGGGAATCGGGGGGCCGGCGGGGGGATCGGGGGGCCGGCGGGGGTCCCGGTCCCGGGCATCCCGGCGCGGGGCACGGAGACGCCAAGCTGCGCCGACGCCGCCAGCCAAGCACGGGAGCCCCGCTGGTCACCGTGAGCGCCGTCCTAGGCTGGGCGCGGGGAGCGGCCTCGGAGAGAGGCTGAGTGTCAGCCCCTTCGCCGAACGCCGACCTCTGCCGCCCCTGCCCGCGGCTCTTTGTTTGCTTGTTTGTTTGTTTGTTTGTTTGTTTCCCTTCACCCCCGCCCCCCAAGTGGAGGGTCCTCCCGGCCGGTCCGTGAGCTCAGTGCGCACAGTGAAGGCCGCCGCCCGCCCCTCCGGCTGTGGGTCCCGGGCGGTGGAGCTGGACCGGCCCAGGGGGCTCAGCTCTCAGGAACGCACTCGGCGCGGGACCGGAGGGACAGACACGGGACAGACACGTTCAGAACTCGCGGTGGCGTTTCCTTCTGGAAACACAGAACCGAGGGACGCGGGAGGCTGCTCCCCACGGCGGGGCGGGGAGTGGAGGAGCAGCGGTTCCCGCGCCCGGGGCCCCGGTGGCCTTCGGTGGCCTTCGTCCTCCCAGCGCGGGAAGCGCCCGGGGCGGCCGGCGGAGGGAGAGGGACTCAGAGCAGCTCCGATCCTGCTCCGCAGGCGCCGCCCGGGCCCGGGAGTCCCGGCTGATGCTCGGATCCGCCCCGCCGGCTCCGTGCGCCCCCGACGCTGCGCCCCGTCCCCGGCCCGCGGGGGGCGGTGTGGCGCGGGTCGGGAGTAATTGGGGCAATTAGCGACCTGCCGTTCCAAGGCGATTAACGGTGAGAGCGCGCCCCAGGCAGAATGCAGGGCCTCTGAGCCGGACAGAACCTTGGAGCCCCACAGAAGGCGAGAAAGAGAGGGCAGGCGCGCGGTCATTCCGCTCCGGGTCAGCAAAGAGCGCTCTGCTGAGTTAATGCCGGAGGAGGAGCGGGAGGGAAGGAGGGTACCCATGGCCGTCGTTAGACTGAAGACTTTGCAGAGTCCCCTCTCCCAGGTCCTCGATGATGATGTGCCCACGTGGTCCGGCCTCGCCCCGAGGGCCCCGTGGGGAGGAGCTGGGCGGTAGCTGAGGGATGGAGGGAGGAAAGGAAGGGCGCCGGCCGGGTGCCCATCCCTCCACCCCCCCCCCTCTCTTCGAGGTCGCTGTTCCGGATCTCGCGTGGGTCACCCGCGGGGTCGTGCTCCGGGACTTCCCACGCCCGCAGGGAGAGCCTGAGATGGCAGGTATCTGCTCCCCGGAGGCCCCCCCGCTGGCCCTCCCCACCCTCTGGCTTCCTCGCAGCTGGGAGCTGAGGTGCTGAGAGACTCCTTTCCGTGGGGCGGAGAGTGTCCAGAGGGGAGCCACCCCCAAAGGCCGAGCTGCTGTCCTCAGCCCACAGGACCCGTCCTGGGGTGACCCCCGTGGTCTGGGGCAGAAAGAGGGGCCTGGATACTGGCATAGAGTCCACAGAGGAAGACGCAGAGGGAAGGAGACCCCAAAGGGGGGTCCCCAGCCCGGAAGGCAGAGCTTCTGCACTGTGACACCCAGCAGCCTGTGGGTCTGTGGTGGCGGCAGTCTTCAGAGTCAAGTGTAAGCTCGGGTTTCTGCATCCCGGGGCTCAGGCCCCGACTCCTGCGGGAGGGTGGGGGTGGGGGTGGGGGTGGGGGTCACAGCTTCCGGCACTGAGGCCGAGCTCATGGCCGTTCCCGGGACTGGGTGGGCACACGCTGTCCTTCCACTGGCCTCAGTGTCCCTGGCTTATGGCTTCAACTTCTGCGACTCCGACCCTTCACAGAACTCCAGTCCCACAGCGATCCGTGTAGTCAGGGCGGGAGGAATCCGTCTTAGAGATAGCGTCTGTGTCCTCAGCAGAGCCAGGCCGCATTCCATCCATCGGCTCTTCCGCCGGTGGCTGTCATCTCGGAGCCGCGCTCCGGAGAGAGGTTCCGGAGAAGCCAGAGGCGCTATTTCTGGGAGGCTCCCACGGGGCGCTGGAGGACCATGACCGTCAAACTCCGAAGGCCTTCCGTGATGCTGGGCCATTGGGACTTCCTTGCTCCCGGTCCCCCAAGAAGGCCAAGGTCACAGCCCGGGCTCGGGGGCTCTCTCGCCCTCTCACCTTGTTCCTGAAGAGGCCATCTGGGCGGAGCAGGAGGCAGGCGTCTCCTTCCCCTTGTCTCTCTTTCTAAAAGGGTTTGAGTGGTAGAGAATCAAGCCTGTTGCCATGGTTATATAAACATGGGTAAATATTTCTGGGCTGAGGATGGGGGTGTGTGTGAGTGCATGATTCATTTTTGCAGAAGAGGAATCAAATGGTTAGCCTCTTCCCTTCTGCCCCCCAAATCTCAACTTCGAGGGGGAGGGGATGAGATCATCTCACCTGGAAATGAGGACTACATCAGAGATGTTGAGATTGGTTTTGAACACACTTTCTCACAGCCACCCTTGGCTGGGTAGGAACCTCAGCTGGCACCTCTCAGCATTTACCCACTGCTGGTGGGGTTACGTGTAAGGAGGGTGCTTTTCCAGAGAGAGATGGTACAGCCCCCTCCCCGGAAATGACGTCTGTGGGTGTCAGACTCTTGGGATTGACCCAGTCTCGTGCGAGAGGGTGACCCCTCGGTCCCCCTGCCAGAGCCAGGGGGTCCTGGCACGGATGACTAAGCTCAGAGGGAGAGGCAGAACCAGCTGGGTCCCAACAGCTCAGATCCTAACCCAAACAATGGAAACACCGCCATCCTCCTGGCCCGGCTCCACGGCCCCCACCTGGAGCACCGCCCACCGAGTCTGAGCCAGCTCGTGGAGGCCTGCCCCTGCGTGAGGTGATGTCCATCTTGTTGCCTCGGCAACAGAAGAGCTGGGGGGCTCATCCCGATGGAGGAAAGAAACACGTGGCCACACGTGGCCTGGAGACCTCCTCATCACGTGTCCCCGTGCCCCACACGCCTCTACCCCTTGTGGCTGCCAACAGCCATTACACCAGCCCCCTCCCAGCTCCCCCCGGCCTCCTGAGCACCAACAGGAAAGGCTGACCCTAGAGATAAACACGTGTTGTTGGCAAGAGTTCAGATGTCACTGCGAACCGATCCCTCCAGGCGGGCAGGCCCAGAGGCGCTGAGCAGAGACTGCGTGTCTGAGTGCACACACACCGGGGAGAGGGGGCAGAGGGTGCAGGGAGGGGGTGTCTGAACTGAGGCCCAGCTCTTCTCTGAAGAATCTGACTCCTACCTTTCATGGCATCGTCCTCTGGCCATCTCACAGAGGGCTGGGCTCCTTGCCTCTTCCAATCCAACGCCAGGGAGACGGCAGCGGGAGGAAGCGCCTGCATGCCAGGCAGCCCCTCGGTTCCCAAAGGAGGATTCTCTTTGGGTTTTAATTGAAGACTCTTTTGATTTGGGAGAGGAGTCCAAGGCGACTCATTAACAGCTCCTTAGCTTTCCGTGTCTGCAACGTAGAAGTCCTTCTCCCCACTTACAGACAGAGCAGCTGAGGCCCGAAGGCTTTGGTCTGGGTGGGGATGCAATAAAGTCTCCCTGTTTCCAAGGTAACCCCTTTCTGGTACCCTGCTCCGCAGAAAGCAGGATTACCGAGATGACCAGGGCCACTGAGGGAGAGTCCCCTAAGGGTGTCCCCCTCCCAATCCACGTGCCCACCCTCCAGCTGTTGACGGGACCACTCCCCGCCATGGCTTGTGCACACAGTACTCACCTAGACATCGCTCCCACTCCCTGAACTCCTTACAAAGTTCTCCTGGTGGTGAGATGAGGCTGTTAGTTCTGCAGGAGCTATTTGTTTATTTACTTATTTATTTAGAGGAGGAGAGAAGAAAGGCATTGGAGGAAGAAATAGAAGTGCAGTAAGTCCTTACTTATCATCTTCGATGAGTTCTGAGACTTTAGCAAGAGGAATCCATCTTTATCGTTAAGCTAACGGATACAAACCAGAGTTTCCTTCCTCTGGCATCTCCTAAACGGACATTGAATGCAATGTCTTTCCTCGAGGACCTGCTCTCTAGTTTATACTTTGAGAAAAACTCTGTGTGTGAATGGGCGGACTCAGGTGAATAACGCAAAGGGAATTTTAAGTGCAAAATCAGACCAGTTCGCATAACTCACAGAGCCCTCCTCGGAATTATTATAGTTGCCGCTGTGGGCCTGGTGCTTCTGGTACCTAAGTGATGCTGTTTTTTGGTATCGTAAAGTAAATATTTCCATTTTGTAAACATTTGCTGGCTGGAAAAGCAAATGTTTTTCAGCTGCAACCTGCCTGACGCACGCCAGGGCACAGCTAGAGGAGATGCTCAGGAGATGGGTGCCAACGACTGTCGGTGCACTGCACTGACCAGGAAAGAGACGCGCTCGGCTTCCTCCCAGGGGACATTCTGCCACACCTGACGGCCCTGTGACCTCCCCGTGGCCTGCAACTCAGAGCAGAGGCTCATCTGATCTCACACCCCGGGGCCGTCTCCACCAGCTTCCAGGTGCGGTGAGCGGTGAGCGAGGACCGGGGGTCGGCCGCCTGCCAGGGAGAGACTTGTTCGCGAGAGAGAAAGC